CATAGTTTAAGACACTGAATGAAGTACAAGTAGGAAATCTGAAATTCATAGCCACAAAATGCAGAATTTTTGAGAGTGAAATTACAGTGGAAAATGTCATACCTGACCTCATATGAAGGGTGGCAGTAGTAAAGCACTAAGAATATGAAATTATCGTGACAGGAGCAAAGATGGCGGACAGATAACAGCTGGCTACAGAGGCTCCCTGAGATAGTCAACTTAGAATTCAACATAATACAGAGTGGGGAGCCAAAACAGAGGGAGATGAATTCTCTCATCCCAAGAAGAAATTAAGGTGAGAAGAACCAACCAAACATACAGTTTTGGTGCTATTATTGGAAAAGCTAAAGATTCAGTGTTCCTGCTGCAGTGGGTGACTTGCCGAGTCGTCCAAGGTCCTACCACTTCAACTCACTAGAGGCACAGTTACATTGAGTTCGGGGGTCAGAGAGCTGAGTTGGTAGGGTGCCTACATCAACTGGTGATGAGTGATGGGAGTGGAGCCATTCCACAGAAGGGAGACTCCGACAGATGACATTCTGGGATTGGGCAGGACTGGCAAGTACAAGGGGCAGCAGTGACTTCAGTCAGTTGTTCCCTTGCCCAATGGGATTGGTGGAGTGAGCTAGGCCTGGGTCACGTGACCTGGCTGAGACTCAATAGGTTATCCAAAATCAAGTCCCTATAGGGGTGGCACACACTAACCACACTAACCCAGTGAAGCCTCAGAAATTTGATTGAGCTGGAGGAGAGGTGCCACAAAGAAATTCAGTGCAGGCCACAGCAGCTTAATTGACCAGAGGGGAAGTGGTGCATAGTAATACAGTGCAGGCCACAGCAGCTTGACTGATGTGGAGGGTGGGGGGCCAGTATACACTGTCCCTGTCTGTAACTCAAAACCACATGGGCAGTGGAAAGGGTCATCTATCCAGCATGCTACAGAAGAATTGTAACCAACAAAGAAAGAAACTGGGGCCTCCTGGAAGAAGCAAAAAAGATGGGAAGAGGAAGCAACAACAAAAAGTCCCCAGGTCCGAACCCTGAGAACATTGACCCAAGACAGATAAATACAAAGGAGCAAGAGAACAACAAACATGCAATATCAGACATGGCACCAGTGGACATAAAGAGATATATTTGGAACTTCATAGATGAGTTCAAAAGTGAAATATTTAGCCAAGTAAAGCAAGATATAAGAAGATTAATAAAAGAGCTACTAAGCACCCCTCAAGCAGACACAGACGGAAGAAGGGAGGAACTCAAACAAAGGAGAGAACCATTTGATGAAGAATATAAAGAAAATATAGAATACATGAAGCAGATTCAAAGAGATTACTAAGAAATTAAAAACCCTATGGAAAGATGGCAAATCAGCTTGAAAGAAACTAAGGATAGATTATCCAAACTGGAGGACAGTTTTGCAATGTGGGATTATGAAAGGGAAAACTTTTTAAAAATAACAAGGAAACAAGCTGTAACAATACAAAGGCTAGAAGATGACAAGAGGATCTATAACTTGAGAATAAAGAATGTGAATGAAGAATCTGGGGTACAAACAAAGGAACTACAAAGGTTATTCACAGAAATAATTAAGGAAAACTTCCCAAACATAGGAAAAGGAAATGATATTCTGATGTATGAGGCATACAGAACTCCAGCCACCTGCAACCAAAACAGAGCTTCACCCAGGCGTATAATAATCAAGAACCCAGAAATTCAATATAAGAACAATATTAAAAGCTGTCAGAGACAAGAAACAGATAACTTATAGAGGAAGGCCCATCAGAATAATGGCAGGCTTCTCAACACAAACCATCAAGTCAAGAAGATCCTGGAGCGAAATATTCCAAGCCCTGAAAGAAAATAACCTCCACCCTAGATTGATATACTCTGCTAAACTGTCTCTAAAAATTAATGGAGAAACAAGATGCTTCCAAGACAAAGAGGAACTTGGGAAATTCGCAACCACCAATCCAACTCTACAGAGAATACTGCAGGGCATTCTAGAGAGAGAGAAAAGTACTAGGATTCCAGGAACAGTGGCAAAGAAGCCTCAATGAATGGAGCAGAAAACTGAATGAAGAAGCAAATGATGGCAAAAAAAGAGCACAACACAAATGAGCCAGAGAAGATTTTATTCAAAACTGATATGATTGATAGTATCAAGTCTGAGAGAATAGGCAACTACACTGAAGATGACAAGACTCTATGATACACATTCTGGTTTGATAACTGCCAGTTTTTGAAGTTCTATACTTTATATAAAGATGTGTTTTTTATGAATACTGTTATGCACTGACATATTCAAGTATACTATGTCTAATGATATAGCCAATTCTATTTGTCGATAACAAGAGACAACACAGGAACTATGGCGGAACTCTGTACAATGGTCTTATATGTTTTTTTTATTTCGTGTGTTTATAGGAATATGTTTTGTTTTGTCTTGCTTTGTTTTGTTTCTGTCTCTAATATAGAAAGGATAGAAATACATGTTAAGACTCATGCATGTGTAGAATCTATAAACAGTTTATGAGAACTGATTTTATGACACACGATGAAATGCAGAGATACTTTGAAGAAAAAGAGACACTGAAGTACCCAGTGCTGATCCTGGAGTGTCGTAATGTGACACCCAGCAATATTATTATTCTTTGTTCAGAGTGATATTAGCCTGCGTGGGTTTGTTCAATCTCAACATAATTGAAGATATGGATAACTGTATGTCTGTTTAAGTATATAGGATTGATAGCCATATTACTAAGTTTTTGTTGTATAGTTGAACAGAATTGGTTGCAATCTCATTGTTTGAATCCCCACTTTATATGCTCCACTTTAGTATCTTGGATAACTATTTATAAGAGGACAATCTGTAATCATCAACTAGTGATTTCTTACTGTTTATTTTTTTCTTTGAAAGTATGTATTGTTTCTACCCATTTTCTGTTTTGTTTAGTCCTTCTTTAAATAAAATAAAATAATATGAAATTATCTCCAGGTGATGTGTAAATGGTCTACATGAATGAATTTCATCTTAATACTTGGGTTTCATTCCCAAGATATTTTACTTTGTCTATGAAAATATTCCAAAAGAAAAAAAAAATTCGAAAACTCATCTGGTTCCAAGCACTTTGATCACTTCTAGACTGGTTTCTGACACAAATAAGCACCAATTCGCTGCTCTTATCCAACAGGGATGTGAGGGGAGATGATGTCAGCACTTGAAGGACTTAGTACAGTGCCCTGGATTTAACAAATACAAAAATGCATTAGACAGTTGTCATGGTTTATGTGTGTGTTCCCCCAGGCCTCATGAGTTTGCATTGTTCATTTGTGATGGTTCATTGGATTGATGGTGTCAGTGCTCCACCCACATAGGGATGGAGCCAGGATGTGATGTAATGGCAGGAAGAAGGTGTGTCTTGCTCTTTGCTAGTTCCTGTTTGCTGTTTGCAGCTGCCATGAACTGCAGCCCAGCCATGCCAGCCTGTCTTGGAGCCAACTTAGTTGGACTGAAACCTCCAAAAACTGTAAGAAATAAACCTTTCCTTTCCCAACTTGGGCTTTAGGTATTTTGTCTCAGCAATGAGCATAAAGTAACTAAGACAACAGTTAAAAAATTAATACAGAAACAAAGAGTCAATCATGCAAAAGAAAAAGAAATAGAAATCCACTTATAATGCTTGCCAAGAAGACCAAGGTTGACAAAAATCTGGGTCTTATCCAACAATTGCCTAACTGGCAGGTATATAAACCTCTTTCTCTGAAAGTTTCTAAATTGAAATCCTGATCCCACCACATGTAGCCACATGGGCTTGGAAAAGATTGCCCTCTCAGCACATTGTGTAATTTGCAAAATGGGGTAGAAATTCCTTGTTAGTGAGGGTTAAGGGCATCCAGCTCGTCAGCATCAGACACTACCTCACAGATCACCTTTTTCCTTTGCTAAGAAAACGAAATATAGTGACTGGTTGTGTGGGCTTTCCAGTCAGTTGTAGGTAAAAATAGCATCTAGAGGCTTTAACTGTATTTGGATTTTTATCTAATTATGCCAATAGGATGTATGCTTGATTTTTTCCCCCAATGTAAACAGATCCTGAATAAACCATGTGCCTTCTCTCTGGAGATCCTGAGACACCCCTCTGATGAATCAGGATGGGCACAGTTTCTGCAGCCCTGAGGGATCCTTCACTGTCCCCACCACCAGGCCACGAGGGGACAGCAGGCTGAGCTGCTCCAGAGGAGGGGTTCTCCCAAGGCAGCCAGCGCAAAGGCACGCGCTCCAAGTTCCACTCCGCCTCCTGGGGGTATTTACCAGGGTGGGACTCTCACCTGGAAGCTGAAGCCAGCAGAAGAAGCCACCTGGAGCCCCATGACCTCCTGACCCAGATCCAGGGCCGCGGGGCAACAGCGCTACGAGCCCCCGCCCGCGGGCATCCTTCCTCCAGGGAGCCGGGCAGAGCCAGGTGGAGAACCGGGAGAAGTAGAAACTACTCTTCAGGAGCTCCGCTTCCCTGCACGGAAAACTGCCTAGAGGAAAGCTGTGAACCACGAAGGTCGCCGCGGGCCCAGCTCCGGCCAGACCCCCGCGGGGGCGGGGCTTCGCACCCACCCAGCCCGCACGCCCCGCCCCACGCCCCGCCCCACGCCCCGCCCCGCCCCCTCTGCGTGCTCCCGGGAGCAGGCACCGCGGGGTTGCGGAGAGCGTGGTGCTGGAGGAGACCCAGCTGCGTGGCGTGGCGGGCCGGCTGTCCGCAGGTCACCGGCCGCCCGCCGCCGCCTCCTGTTCCGCTGCCTGGAAGCCAGGCGTTCTGCTGTGCATCGTCAGTGATGCTCTTAGACTCTGGGATACGCAAATTGCGTGCGAGTCACGCTTCATTTTCCTTTACCTGTCCTGAGAAAAGAAATGGGCCGGAGGTGGAAAGGATGCGCATTCAAAGATAAGCGTGTTTCCCAGCAGACGTACAAAATGCTTTCAAGTTGAATTTAACTAAGGGACGTTTTTCTAGATTAAAAAATCTGACATTTATTATTTTGAATTCGAAATTATATATTCAAGAAATCAATTTTGTAATGACTTCGTTCATGAGGTGGTTGGTTTTTCTCCTTACTGAGGAGTTTTCTTCAGCTTGCATTAATGAGGATTTTTAAAAAAAAATTCGGGCTCCAGAGTTCTTGGATCTTAAACAAAAGAAAAAAGACAGTGAATGAAGGCTCACCTCCGAAAGCCTCGTATGTTTCACCGCACCCTTCTTTCAAGGCGCAGTGCGAGGCTCTGATCCGTAGCGCTGCCTCCTGCGCACACTGCTATACGTATTTAGGGTGAGGGACACACTCCCCACTCTCATTTCACAGACTAAGCTCATCTGTTTTTAAGTTGGATGTAACTGCCTTCACTTGCGTCTGGATTCTTTCACCCAACTGTAGATTTAAAAAATTCATCTATGTCTCTGTACATATAGGAGTTGTACTTATTCTCACTGTAGGAGCTCTATTTTACAAATATTATGTATCACAACTATTTAGGTATTCTTTTTTTCAGATTATTTTCTTTATCAGTACATATTTGCAGTTCATAACGTTTACATTGCAGGCACGGTGTTGGAACATGTGTGTAACACATCTTAATTCCTTTAGTCATCCCCTTCCATCTCCCTCCCCTTAATAGGCATTTACTTTCCAAATTGAAATTATTTTTGATAGTAATGTTGTAAACATGTTATAATACATGTCTTTTCATAAGCATATGTACAGCATTTTACTAGATTACCTTTGATTTTTGCCATGTATTTTCCTACTGGTTTAAGTTTTCTCTATATCTTTCTAAATGGGTAGATAATATTTAACTATTTATGTATTTATTTTAAAGATAATAAAACCCAACAAAACAAAACAATAAATCCAATCAAAACAAAGCAGTGAAGTTGGTACAGAACTTCAAAGCAGGATAATAGGAAAACAATGGCTACCATAGTATATCTTGTTATCTTCCACAATGGTTGCCCATTCCATCAGATATAGCAAAATCAAACCAAAACAAATCAGAATAAAACCAATCAAAACAGCATATTAAATAAAGCAAAACAATTGGATTTCAAAAACAAGATAGAGGGAAATGTCCCATATTTGCTGTATTGCATACTGTTATGCTCCCTATAGATGCTCAGACTGGCTGGCCCCAGGCCTGCAAAGTCAATCAAACAATACAAGCATTCAGTTGCTTTTTGTACCTCAGTTGCTATCAACTCAGCCTGTCCTCTGAACCAGCCCGTTGCTTGAGGCGTAGGGTGTAGGGCTGGTGATTTGCAACCCATGCCCCTGTAGGCTGACCAGAGATGAGGTGCTTTTCTCTTCCTGAGCCTCCCGTGGCTTGCATGGCTTACTACAAAGGCTGGATAGCTGGCTTGTTGGTGGGCTCCTCCTAGTCCTAGTGTGGCTGATTCTTGGGAGGTGCTGTCTGACTTTTCTCTTCTTAGGCCCCTAAACTTTAGTGTTTCTTTTTCTTTCTTTCTTTCTTTTTTTTGTCCTGGGGATTGAACTCGTGACCTCATGCTTGCCAGGCAGGTACTTACACTGCTGAGCTAAACCCCTGGCCCTTTTTACTGTTTCTTGATTTGTTAAAATTTGAAAATCGTATTTAGTAAATTAGGGGAAAACAGTAGAATAATAACCATACACATTACTCTTTTTTTTTTTTTTTTGTCTTTTTCATTTTTATCGGTACCAGGGATCAAACTCACGACTGCCTGCTTGCAAGGCAGGCGCTTATGCCGCTGAGCTAAATCCCCAGCCCCATGTTACTCTTTTAAACTAGCAAAATAACAGTTTAATGAATGACTGGATAGGGAAAATTACAAAAAAGAAAATAATATTCAAAAAATTAAAAACTCAAAAGCTAGAGATTTGGGGCACAAGAGAATGAACAAAAGAGGCGGAAAAATCCCTGCCATCATGAAACTAAGTGAGAGCTTTAAAATTCTTTATAAAAGAAAAAATTTGCTTAGTTTGAATAATGCTTTTCAGAAAAAAGAACAAGTGGTATTTAAACTTCTTGGACAGGTGTAAAGGAGCACTCAAAATTAATATATTACATGGTTTATTATCAGGTATTGATGCCGAGCAAAAGAAGCAGCGGTTTCAACAACATGAGACAGAAGAGTACAAGGAAACTAACAGCAGGTATCAATAAAAATGAATAGAAATTGAAAAAATGTATCTTTTTTTCTAGAGGTCAGTTCTACAAATGTGTGGCACAATTCACTACCTTGATAGAAGATAGAAATAAACATGATATGGATTGAAAACTAAGGGCAAATACTGATATAGCAGTAAAAATAACAAGACAATGCTATAAATATAACAAAAGTTTGAAAACATACAAAATAAATAGATTTCTGAAGGTGACAAGTTGGTCCTAAAATTTTTGAAAATCAATAGATTAATAACTTTAAAAGCAGTTCAGTTGAAATTAAGTTTCCTATGCAAAATAAAGCACAACTTTGAAGATGATAAAGAATAGAAATCACTCTTAAATGTTTGTCCCCAAAAGGAGAAATACATAATAATTTATTTCTTTCTTTGAAACTTATGTTCATTAATTTCGGACTTCTGGGAGAACATGGCGGACAGATAACAGCAACTACCGGAGGCTCTCTGAAAAACTAGGCTCAGAAGCCAGGTATGGTGCGGACTAAAGAGACATAAGCAGGTGGAGTTATGCTCTGCTGACTCAGGAACGAACTCAGCTGAGAGAAACCAACTTGGAATGCAGTCCTGGTGCTAAAACAGGAACAGAAAAGTCTCGCTGCTGAGGCTGGACCCTGCACCATTGGAAGCCGCGATTTGGGTTTCCCACCGTGCGGCGGCTGGCTGCCTCTACATCGGCTCGGCAAGGAGAGAGACGCGCGGAAACTCTGAGAACGGGAGTCTGCAAACGGAGTCGAAAACAGGACGGGCAGGGAGGCATGTTCTGACTTGTGGCGAGGTGAGTGAGAGAAACTGACACTCCACCACAGTTTGACTCCAGCGGACTTTCTAGGCCGGAGCAGTCCTGCGGGAGCAGGGCGCGGTGGCGACTCCAGCCACACATTCCCCTCTCGGGCGGGATTGGTGAAAAGTGCCTGGCCTGCGTGACGCTGCCGGCGGACCCCGTAGGCTGGCCCAACCCAGATCCCAGAGCCTGACGGAGGCCGGGAGGGGCGGGCCCCCGTGTAGGCTGCCTGGTGCGCAGCGGTGAGTGGGAACACTTAACCGGCGCAATTTGATCAGGCTGTGGCTGACAGGGAGAGAAGCTGGGCCTCTCATATAAGCTTGCGTATATAAAGAACAGAGAATATGGGAAGAGGCAGCAACAAGAAAGGCTCCTTGGCCCCCAATTCTGAGAAACAGGCAATAGCGGACACCGCACCAATACACATAAAGCACCATATAGAGAGCCTCATAGACCAATTCAGGAATGAAGTTATCAACGACCTGAAGCTAGAAGTATGCAAAATAGTTAGAGAAATGCTAAGCCCCACCCAAGAAAAAACAGATGGTGGAATGGAAGAACAGAAAAAGAGGGGAGAATTGTTTGATGGAGAAAACAGGGAAAGCATAGAATACGTGAAGCAGGTTCAAAGGGACTACCAAGAAACTAAGAAGTCTATCGAAGACTGGCATAACAGCTTGAAAGAAACTAAGGACAGACTATCTGAACTGGAGGGCAGACTTGTAATATGGGAGAATGAAATGAAAAACTTCTTAAAAATAACAAAGAAACAAACAGCAATAATACAAAGACAAGAAGATGATAAGAGGATCCATAACTTAAGGATTAAGAACATAAAAGAAGAAGTAGGGACACAAACAAATGAACTACAAAAGCTACTCACAGAAATAATCCAGGAGAATTTTCCTAATTTAGCAAAAGGTAAAGATACTCAGATGTATGAGGCATACAGGACCCCAGCTACCTACAACCCAAACAGAGCAACACCAAGGCATATAATAATAAAAATTCCAGAAATTCAATACAAGGACAGAATATTAAAAGCTGTCAGAGACAAGAAACAGACCTCTTACAAGGGAGCACCCATCAGAATTACAGCAGATTTCTCTGCACAAACCATCAAATCACGAAGAGCGTGGGGGGAAATAATTCAAGCTTTGAAAGATAATAATCTCCAGCCAAGATTGAGATATCCTGCACAACTGTCCCTGGAAATTGATGGAAAAACAAGGTGCTTCCAGGATAAAGAGGAACTGGAGGAATTTGCAACCACCAATTCAACTCTACAGAGAGTATTGCAGGATATTCTAAAAAAGAAAAATACAAAGAATCCAGAAATAGTGGAGGCCACAACTAATGGAGCAGAGAACAAAGTGAAGAAGACAAACTGACAGCTACTGACAGAAAAAGAGCTCAACAGAAATGAGGCAGAGAAGATTGGATGATAGGAACAGCTATTTTGGAGAAAATGACATCTTAATAGGTAATACTGATTTAGTATCATCTTGTTTTAAAGTCTCATCTAGCTTTTGTCCTTCTGTCTCCAATGGTCTAAATAGGTTGTATCTTACTGGATTTTATTATGTACGATAGTATAAGCAAAAACCTTTTAAAGACAAGGAGGTTATACAGAAACCATTATTCATTTTCTGTTAGTCGATTCTAAATACTTTGTAATGCTGTCATTCTCTTAAATGGTTTTACATTGTTTTGATATACTTAATGCTACAGTATACGAAGTTATACTCAAGGATTTCAAGGAAAGAGACAATATGGTAACTACTTTTAGGTCAGGATTATCTGGTGGTGAAACACTATTCTGCTTAAATGGTTATGTTTTGATCTGTGCTGTTTTGTTGTTATGCCCTCTTTTATCTCAATCTCCACTCCATTATTTACTTTTTTAATACTTTTTTAAAATTTTTATCCTTTTAATTAAAGGAAAAAAATAGCAGGATATATTATAGTAACCCACTTTGACTTTCCATCACCTCGATTTAAAGCCCTGTATTACTCTCACCATCTGGTTTTTAACTGATGTTCCCCTATTCTGTTTTGCTGGATAGTATCAAGTTCGAAAGTTTAGGCATCAGCTGTGAAGATAATGAGATTCATTATAACGCCCATTCTCGTTGACTTTTATCTACTTTTGAAGACCTACAATGTCTCCAATGTTTTGGTTTTGTTGCTTTTGTTCTTTACTGTTTTGTTCAATTGTATTATAACTAATGGTATAGGCAATACTATTAGAGATAGCAGGAGGCATTATGGTAACCATTGTTGATCACCTTGTATTATGTTTTCACATTATCTATTATGTCCACCCTTTTGACTTGACCGATTCTGTTCTGTTATGTCACATTTGGTTTTACTCTCTTCCAAAAAAGTAATAAGAACCGTGAGAGCAATGAAACCCAAAATGTGTAATAGTCATTGTACAAAAGAGAGGAAAAGAAAGTGCTCTAAACTATATAACTGCATGTATATTTAAATGTATAAGATAGAATATGATATCACAGAGTTTTATTGGATCATTGAACAGAACTGTTTGCAGTATCATTGATGGAATGTCCACTTTACAAGCTTTAATTTTGTGACTTGAACAATTATTTCTAAGATGACAATATGTAATCCATTAACTAGTGATTTCCTACTGTTCATTTTTTTCTGCAAATCTGTATAACTTGTACCCTTTCTCTGCTTTTTTTTCTTTTCTCCTTAAATAAAATTAAAAAAAAAAAAGAAACTTATGTTCATTAATTTCAAAGCCAGGAAAGGATAATACCCCCCAAAATTAAATTATTATCTAATTTTACTTACAAATATATAACAGAAAAATTCTAGACTGGTTTAGCATTTAAAAAATCTGTCAATATATTTTCTTATACTAACTACTATGGAAAATACAAATGACTATTTCAATAGAAAAATTACTTCATAATTTAACAACCTATTACTAAACCAAAGAAAACAGAAATAATAAACATTTACTACCTTTGGTAGTATGCTTAATGTCCAAATTCCATCAACTGTAATATTTAGAGAATTTTTAAACATTGTCTTTAAATTCAAAATAAGCAAAAGACCATTGTTATTTCTGTTAATATTTCAAAAGGGATGTAAAGGAGAAAGTCAAGCCACTGTTATTTGTAAGAGAGATGAGCATCTGCATGGAAAACAGTCATAATCTGAAGAAAATTTTGAAATACAGAGTTTAGCATGGTTTTCAAATACAAGTAAACTTTCAAAATTCAGAAATATTCCTAAACCACTAACAACCAGTCAGATTTCATTTGAAAACAAAAAGATATTATTCATTATGGTGAAAAATGAAAAGTACCAAGGAATTAGCTCAACAAAAATTACACAAACCTACAGAAAGACATTTTTACAACTTCCCTAAAGATGCTCTGAAAGACTTGAATAAATGGAGAGCACATGTGTGGCAAGATGCAAATTACACTAATAAGATATCAATGTTCCCAAAGATCTCTACAATGAAAATCATGAAACACTGATAAGTGGAAGAAGAAAATTATACCACATTCATTGATTGAAATATTATTAAAATGTTCATACTAGCCAAAGTGATGTGCAGATTCAATGCAATTTCTATCAAAATACCAATGACATTCTCCAAAGAACGAGGAAAAACAATTCTAAAATTTGTATTGAGCCATAAACAACACCAAATAGCCAAAACCATTTTGAACAAAAAGACAAAGCAGGAAATATTATACTTCTTGACTGCAAAATATACTATAAAGGTGTAGTAAGTTAAACGGCCACATAGACCAATGGAACAGAGTAGAGATGATAAACCTGCATATATATAACCACTTGATTTTCAATAAAAGTGCTAAGGACATCTTTCAAAAAGGATAGTCCTTCCAGAAACAGTGGAGGGCAAGTTGTATATTACAGGCAGGACAATGATACTAGATCCCCATTTCACACCAGTTACAAAAATCTACTCAAAATGGACTAATGATTGTGAGACTTGACGTTATGAAACTACTAGAGGAAAAACAGGGAACATTCTCAGAATTTTGAAGCAGACCTGAAATTTTTGTACAAGATTCTAGAAGCACAGGATATGAAAATGGATAAATGATATCAAATAAGAGGTTAATATTCAGAATAAATTTTGATACATTTTTAAACAATCTGTTTAAAATTGTAGACAATTAAGATCCACAATGACTAACAAGTATATGAAAAAATGGTCATCACCACTAACCATCAGGAAAACACGAATCAAAACCAAATGAGATATCACCTCGATTCAAGTAAGAATGTCTATTATCCAAATACAAAAGATAACAAGGGTTGGCAAAGATGTGGAGAAAAGGTAATGCATGCATGGTTTTGGTAGGAATGTAAATTAGTACAACCATTATGGAAAACTATAAAGGTTCTGCTCAGAAAATTAAACAGAGCTACAATATGTCCAGTTATGCCACTAGTGGGTATATTTTCAAATGAAATGAAAAAAAGAGACATCTGCACTCCCACATTCACTGCAGTACTAAATAGCTAAGAGATGGAAACAACCTAAGCATCAGCCAGCTGTTAAGTGGGCAAAAAATACACTGTATGGTCCAAAAATGGAATACTACTTAACCATAAAAATGGAATCTTATAGTTCCCAATAATGTGGTTGGAACTGGAGGTCGTTATGTTAAGCCAAATGAGCCAGACACAGACGGACATGTACCATATATCTCACCCAGATGGTAAGTCTAAAGAAGTTCGTGCGTAGACATTGTAAGTAGAATGGTGGTTACTAGAGGCTGGGGAGAGAATTGGGAAGGAAAGAATGAGGAAAGACTGATTGATGAGCATCAGCTTACAGTTAGATAGTAGTAAGAACTTTTGTTTTGACAGTTGAGTGACTATAGATAAAAAATGATGCATTATATACTTCAAAAGACCAACGTCTTCATTACTTTTCTCCTTTCTGGGATGAAATACCCTAGTCCAAAGTTCAGGGAAGAGAGGTTTATTTTGCTCACAGTTTGTGGAGGTTTCAGTCCATACTTGGCTGGCTCTGAGGCAGGATGGCTTGTCAGAGGGGCATCTCAGAGAACAATTCATGGTGTCCACAAGGAAGCAAAAATAACAAGAAAGAGGGGATAAGCTTCTTTCTGCCCCTTATAGTGTATGCAGGCTACCCACCCTAGGACTCTCACTCTTAATTCTAGTCAGACTTATCCCAAACCAATCAGTGGGCTGATTAACTAATCACATACCCTTAATCCTAGCACCATACATTCTAGATTCAGCTACCTACCCCCCATGACTGCATGAGACTGTGGGGGACATCTAGACACAAACCATAAGAACTAGCAAAAGGGATTTTTGAACAGTTTCACCATAAAGAAATGATAAGTCTTTGAGGAGATGGATATGATTAATATGATTTACATTATATAGTGTATACATGTATAAAAACAACATGGGATTCCATAAAGTTTTTATATATCAATTAAAAAATTTTTAAATTTTAAGTTTTAAAAAATTTTTAAAAATTTTATTTTTAAAGAGGGTAAAATTAAACATAACAAAACAGATCAGAAGAAAACAATGTAAGAGACACAGATTTCAAAGCAAGACAACCGGAGATCTTCACTGTCTATTATATTGTCTGTTGTTTTCTTCCAAATAGTTGTCCATATCTTCACATACAATGAATTCATACAAAACAAAATAGTATAAAACTGATCCGAACAGAGTGATGAAAGCATTTTAGGTCTTCAAGACCAGACAATAGGGAAGTCAACAGTGGCTGCCATAATGTCTCTCATTCTCCTCAAAATAGCTGTCCATTCCTTCATGTATGTTGATTAATTTTTTAAGTTTTAAAGAGAAATTTAAAATTAATATGAGAGAGGGGAATAAAAATCTAGAAATAAACAATTCAAAATTTGCATGCCACTCTAAGAAGCCTGAAGCCACCTTGTGACATCTCACTCTGTCCTGCCTATGACAGCTCATCTTTTGCCCACTCCGTCCACACTGTAAATGTTACTTGTCCATTGGCCGTTTTGCTGTTGTCTGTTTGCTGATGCTGCTGTCACAGTATCATTTCACTTGAATGTATACTCACTGGTATATAGTGGAATTATTTCAATAGAATTTGAAAACACATAAGAAAAAACTGCAAAAGATTGAACATTTTAAATTCCAGAGGAAAAAAATATTTTAAAACAGCACCTCATTCATCATCTTTAGAGGATGCAAGAGATCTGCTCTCTTACTTTAAAACCATAGAGTCAGAGGTAACTCCGATAGAACACTCTGCCTACAATGTGTGAGCCCCTGGGTTCTCCATCCCTAGCATAGAAAAAAATAAAAACAAAAGCAAATAATTAATCAAATGCAAAAACAAGTAAAGAATGGAGTATTCAGTGTACATTTTAATTTCCAAAGTCACTTCAGTGTAATTGAATTGTAATGCAAATAATTGATGAGGGGAAGATTCTCTTCATATAAATAATCAGCAACTGAATGAAATTGAAAACAATTTGAGTATCACTCTTTTCCACTTCTAATGAATATATCTAGGCAATGGTCATCAATGACTATCTACATTCCAGAAAGAGAGACATCCTCCATTACGGAATTGTTTTTCCCCAAATCTTTGAATTAATACCATATGCATTCACTTCTGTGGCTACTGAGGGCTTGAAATGTTGCAAGTTTGAGAAAAGATAAATTTAATATAAAATACACACAGAACTGTGAAGGTTCAATGAGAAAAACATTTTATAGAAAATATTTAAAATAATTTGTATTTATGTTATTAAGAATTATTTTCCAAATACTATTAAGAATGTATCATCTGTTAAAAAGTACTATAATCCCACTTGAATCTACTACCTCACGGAATTATATTACTTTATTTTTGACACAAGGTTTCACTATGCACTATGCAGTTTTAGACAGGCTGTCTAAAACTCACAGCAATCCACCAGCCTCAGCCTCCTGAGTGCTAGGATTAGAGGAGGGGTGGCCACTCTGAGTTAGATTACATACTTAGGGCTTTCTTTCCACTTATTTCTAAAATGATCATTACTGCTACCAAATGCATGATTTAATTTGAAAAGTTCTTTTAAATTTGAAGACTACATAGTGACACCAGAAAAAAAAAATCACACACCTATGTGCTCAATGACAAGGGCTCACTAAGCGGTCCTTGGGATTGCTTCAGAGATGATAGTTGAGACACAGTCTCTGACCTCAAGGGACAATGACATTGGTCAGCACAGACACTTCCCCTCATGGCAGGACATTGCAAGAGTATGCTGTGAATAAAAATTGGGAGATGCAGGTTCAAAGTTTTTTTGAGAAATTGATGAAGATTTCTTCTCAAAAGTTTGCTTCTGTATAAAAATGCCCCAATTATAGATTTGCACATTATTTATATCCTTAGTAGTGAGAGTAAGAAATTATGATTTGTTCCTTTGAAGAATATATTCACTATACTCCCCCAAAGGACTGCTAATCCTTATCTGTTCCATAATTCCAGATTTATATATGTAAATACCTAACATATTCCCTTTGTGTTGGTTACTTTTTTCTTATTGCTGAGGTAAAATACCGAATGCCCAAAATGGAGGGAGCAAAGGTTTATTTAGCTCACAGTTTGTGGAGATTTCAGTCTGTAATCAGCTGGCTCCAAGGCAGGCTGGCATGGCGTAGGGGCGCCATTTATGGTAGCGGCAGGTACCAAAGGCAACAGGAGCAAAAGGGCAAAAGGGAGGAGCCTTACACTGTATGCCAGCTACCCACTCCTGAGTGGGTGCAGCACTCACACTGCCAATCCCAGTGCTAGACAACGAACCAATCACAAACACTCGATTCAGCTGCCTTCAAAAGGCCACTCCCCCATGATCACATGAGGCTTTGGGGGAACATCCAGACACAAACCCTAGCACCCTTCAGTGAAAAACAGGTACTTTAAAATGAACATGTTCAAAATAGAATTCTTAATCCTCTTTCCAAAGCTTATGCTTCCCATATCCTTTCTCATATTTGTATAAGTTTTCTTCAATGCCAGAAAATTTGCACCAGTGAAGGTAATTCTTCCATTTCACTCTTTTCCCACATCTGATCCACTAGCATACCTTGTCATCTAACTTTACCCACGGTCCTTCCACCCACATTTCTACTACTCTTTTCTACCTGGCCATCACCTTTATTTTGATGACTATAACACTGTCTCTAAAAATTTCCTTATTTGTATTGAAATCTCAATATTATAATATAAATCTGCATATTGTGATCTATAATTTTTTTAGTTTGCCTCGTAATCCATAAAATATTATTTATAATCCCATAGAAACATTACTGGAATTCCAGCAAGTTAATTCCAATCTACCACCTCCAATGCAGCCCACCACTAGAGTAAAGACACTAAAACATATTCAAAGTGATGGGCAGCCAAGTGGTCCTAAGTCCCATTCAAGTGAGGATATATGGGCAAAGGCCTTGATCCAAGGCCTCTCCCAGAATTTATTACCTTATAAAGAAGGAAGTGGTTCAAGCGTGATGACAGGGAGGATAATGGGAACTGTGTGAGTAACTTGAGCTGATTAGCCAAATGCAGAGAGAAAGATACGCAGAAGTCTGCATAATTTAATTAAGGTAGCATTTGAATTATTTTAGAAGGCCGTGCTTCAGTTTCCAATATGTAAACTTTTGTATCTTGGGGAGTCATAGCCTCTTACTTTGAGGTTCGTATTCTGCTGACATTCCTGGGGCAGAGTGACTCTGACATCCATCCCATTGTGATCAGTCCTTTACAGAGAGCACTATTTGAGGAAACAGGACACTATCAGGTTGGCCTCTGGGATTATGTATCAGCACCTTGGCCAGCCTTATTTGTGTCACTTAGAGCCAATTGAAGTGAGAAGAGAATAGCACAGCTGACTGTACATATCAGTATAAGGAAATAAGACTCAATTAATGTTTAATTAGTGTTGCAGCAATTGTTCTGCATTCAAAGAGAGGTGCCCAGGTAGTCTTTGACATCTCTCCCTTCCTTGTCTTTTTGAAGACTGTTGAGCAAGGTCAGCTGTGGTTATTATTGAGTTCTAAGAAACTTTGTCCGTAGTCTAATTAGAGAGTTTTCTAAAGTATAAATCAGATTTGTGGGGTCCCTTTTGTAAATACATCTTTATGGGTTGATACCGCAGACAATAAAAGACCCAAATGTCTTCCAGGCCTGTGGATCTTCCCTGTTTGGCACTCACCTCCAATTTTCAAAGCGTTGGCCTAGCCAGTTGGCCTTCTCCATTCTTGGAACATTCAAAGCTCATCCCCATATTGGAAACTGAACTAAATATTTCTTCTTGTCTTGAACCCTCTGCACCAAGAATTTGCTCACACTTGAATTTTATTTTTACTCAACTATAAGTTTATATAACACCTACCCATAGACACCATGGAGCCGACACTAGTCCCATGGTCTCTTTCATTCTACTCTATTTTCTGGAAAGTACTTAACTGCCTGATGTTTTCTTATTTCCAATTATTAGTCCATTGTTTGTTTCTTTGCATCAGAATGTAAGGTCTTGAAGGCAAGAAATTAATCTGTTTTTATTGCGTCTATCAACATAGAGGTACTCAAGTTGTATTTGGTGAATGGATATTTCATTAATCCTGTAGAGTAACATCACTTTTACTTCATCATGGTTTAGGCAGGTAGAATCATCTCAGACTTCTAGACTCAGTCTTTTCTACCACACAGTAAGTGGATTCCTTCTCACTAGTGGCCTGGGGGGATACACACTGTATCCTATAAAATCCTGTTCTCTCTAAAGAATCTTAAAACTCATAAGCATGAATGACTATTGCAATCTTAAATATTATTTGAACAACAGCATAGACTTGACTGAAGGAAGTACCAGTCATATGGAAAGGGTTTTCTATCATGGCTTTTTTCATGATGGATTTTGCCAGAGCTCTTCGAGTTTTTTAAAACTTGAAGCTTGCTGGTTTCTTTTTTTAACTCACCTTATTTATCACTAGCAGGTAGTAATATAACTTACCTTTTCTTTCTTTGAACACAAAGAATGATGATAATGATGGTAAGCACAAAACATAAAGAAGTGAGTACAATGATTATCACTGTTGGACTAGAAGAACCTGAAAAACACAAACAAGAAACATGTTCTCCTCATGATGCTGTTTTCTTATGCATAGTACTACACCACATCATATCTGTAATTTGCGATGCATTTTTGATTTATCAATATTTTATTGACATACAAATTTATAAGACAATGTGCTATATTCCGTGTAATGATAAAATATACTAATACCTGTATATTTGAAATACTGTATGATATTCAAAGATTGACATTTAATTTTTAATATAATCTTATTCTTAGGAATAGGAAAACAATATAATCACTTTAATATTCAGAAAATGATTAACAAAATATAATGCAGTCAATTATGCTACTAGAATGATTCACAAAAAGTCTATAAAAACATCAGAAAATAAATTTATAATAAATATTTAAAATTATTGTGATGAGCACTTTATAAAGGTTACTTGTATTACCTGGATGAGTACAGTTATTAGGCAAAGATGGGGAAATGGAGTCTCTGTGATATTAAGAAGAATCACATAAAGATACAAAGTGACTAGGTGACAAATGAAAACAAGTTCAATTCTAATTCCAGAGTCTGCATTTATAAAAAACAGTGCAAAAGCTTTAACAACAACAATTTCAAAAGTAGATATTTTGACCAGTTTGCTTACATTTTATTACAGACACCTCTATCATGTATAGATTTCTGGATATAATTTATATTATTGGTTGGTTGTAACTTAAATATAACACAAAGTCATCTTTATGACTGTCAGTGATTATTGCTATACATAATAATTGCTATATATAATAGGAAAAAGAATATGTATACTTCGTGTTGGTCCTTAAAATCTACACTTACATTAAATGAGTAAAATATTGTGTTTTCAATTTTTAGTTCTTTTAATTAATTGGTACATTTTAAATATATATATATATATAATGATCACATTCATCAGAGGAACTTTGTTCCTATACATGATATAACTTAATTCCTCTTTTTTCTCCCATTTCCCTCTTCTCCCTTTATTCCTTCTTCCCCTTATTTACAAAAGCCTTATTTCCACTGTTTCCTCCTTTTCTCTCTCTTTTTTTGCTTTTCCCATCCCTTTCTCCTTCCTTTTCCTAGTTCCTCCGCCCAAATGAGCATTTTCTTTCTCTTTCCTAACATCTAGTATACATTGTGGTTCTTTTTTACAATTCCTGTTTCTCACACCAGAGAAAGAATGTGACACGTACACATGTGTGTTTGATTTATTTCACTTGAGTATGGTTTCAAAGGGCATCCATTTACCTGTAAATGTGTCAAGTCTATGCTTTGAAATGATTGAGTAGTACTCTATTGTATAAATAACACATCTCGAATGAAGAAGCAGAAGCACTAAATAAACTTTATTTTTTGGTTGGGGGAATCAAACTCATGACTTTGCATTTGCCAGGCAGGTGCTTATGCCACTGAACTAAATCCTTGGTAGATGTACCAAAGAAATACATGACAAATGTTCAACATCACTGGTCATTTGAGAGATGCAAATTAAAGCAATGCTGAGATTCCATTTCACTCCAGAAAGAATCAAGAAATTAACCAATAACAAGTGCTGGTGGGGGTGTGGAGAAAAAAAGAACACTTCTCCATGGCTGTGCAAGTGTAGACTGGGACAACCCCTGTGGAAATCAGTGTGATTCCTCAAGAAACTAGGACTAGAGGTTCCATTTGATCCAGCTATTCCTTTTCTTGACATCTTCCCAAAAGAAGAACATCACACCACAGCAATACAGGCACACTCACGTTCATAGTGGCACAATTTGTAATAACTAGATCTTAGACACAGTCCAAATGCCCATCATTGTTCTTGTCATAGGCTTTTTTTTTTTGGTTTTGGGTTCTCCTTCTCCTAATGTCCCTAAATATGTACGTACTTAATGTCATGATCATAATAACTTTTCCCCCTTTTAAATTTGCTGCTTTGAGTTTTTCATTATCATTGAAGAAAAAGAGAAATCTTCTTTACTCAAATGCTATTAGGAAAGTGCATGTGTGTTAATTCAAGGATTTTGTGCCCCTTACTTTTAACTGCCTATGCATTATTTTGTCTAGTTTTTACTGATTTTGTTTTCATGATATGCATGGAATAACAGCCATTCTAAATAGGCAGAGGAGACTGAATGTGAAGAATTTAATGCTAAGATATCACATCCCTGAAGCCAACAACAGCAAAACATGAGCAAAAGGAAAAAGAAAAAGTTTGTATGATCCCCAAAGAATTAGGGGTTAATTTCTTTAAAACTAAACAAGGTCAATCTTCTAAATTAACACATATTTTAATAAATGAAATTCACCATATAATCTATCCAAGAGATGGATGAGAGACACATGTGCTATTTAATTGGCATATTCTAATTTCATGAGCTGAGGAAATATATCAAGAAAAGGCTGATTAACTTCAAGAGAGACATAAGTGCTGACAAAGGTGTGAAGAAAAAGGAACTCTTCTTCATTGTCTATTTGAGACCACTATGAAGCAGCTCTGAGCAGGGTGTAAATTTTACTAATTGGTTATGTTTATCTGTGAATCCGTCCTAGGCCTCAGCCCCTTGCCTGTCGATGGGAGCTGATTCATAGTAAGTGAACCTCTGAATCACTGGTCCTGGCTGAGGCCTGTAGTGGAGGCCAGAGATACCTCAAAGGGCAAGATAAGGCCACAGCTGCGGACAGTCTGGCTCCAACCCCAATTAACAAGGTAGAGACTGCAGCTGCAAAGATCACTCCTACAGTCTCACTTCTACTATGTCTTTATAAGACAGTCCTACTAAATTGACTTGACTCATGACTTGGAGACATCTTTGATGTGACTCCCAAGGTCCTGCTCATTGCCTGCACTTTCCTAGTCTCTCCACCCTTTGTCCTTGGTTCTAATATAAGTGGACTGATCCAGAGAATCCTTTGTCTTTACCCTCAAAATCTCGAGCTTAATTAAAGGGTTTTGACCCTCCTGGAACCCTAAAAATCATACAATTTGTCTCTTTTTATTTAACCTCCGCCATACACTCATTTGGGAGATCAGAGATCTACAGAACCTGATAATTGTTGGTGGGAATGTACGTTAATACAATCTATGGTAATTAGTGTGGAAATTCCTTAAAAAACTATAAATAAAAGTTCCATTTGATTCAGCTTTCCTCTTCTAGTTATCTTCCTAAAAGAGAGTTAAAATTATAGTATTTCAAGGATACTTGCATACCCATGTTTATAACAGCAAAATTTATAATTGCTAGGTCTTGGAAACAGCACATATGTCCACCAACAGATGAATAGATAAAGAAAACGTAGTATTTGCACACAATGGAGTACTATTTTGCCATAAGAATTTTGAGGCATTCATAGGAAATGGATATAATTTGTGAACATAATGCTTAGTGAAGTAAGTCATATACAAACTCAACTGTCACATGGTGTCTCTTATGCGACAAATTCTATATATGCAAATATGGAGCAAAATAGAAAATATATAAATATGAAGTAAGGATAAGTTCAAATAATTCCCAAATTACCTATTTCACTTCTTCAAAAGTATTTTAGCACATATGCTAAAATTCCTTACATTATCCTACTGACTTCCCTTAGTTCACTGAAAAGAAAGTTTTATGCTATTGTTTCCTCTTTGTAAAAGAGAATCTTTTGTCTATGGTTTGTACTTCAAATAACTACTTTGAAGATAATTAAACACAGGGTATTTCTTGTTATTATTATTTTGTACTGGGGATCAAACTCACAACTTTGCACTTGTCAGGCAGGTGCTTATGCCACTGAACTAAATCCCCAACTCTCTTGTTATTTTGTTATGAAATTTTATATTATTGTTTCATAAAATTAAAAAACTGCAAAAAAGACAGCACAAATATTTATGTTTAATCTTCTTGACTCCATTAAAATTATAGTAATACAAATAAAAGATTCAAATGTAAAACAATACTGAAGAGTGACTTTCAATGATGAGAAACCACAAAGAAAAAAACTTAAAAGAGAAGTAAAGGGGACAAAGGAAAGAGTTATGAATGTGCAGGAGTAAAGGACCCGCAGCCCACGCATGCACAAAGGAGATTCCACCTGCAGAGAAAGTGTTCTCAGAATCTCCGAGGAAACTGAGGGCAAATGAGGGGAACTAAGGTTGTGATGAAAAGCCTTCAGTTCCGTATTTTAAAGCACAACTTTGGACAGCCAGGTGCTTACTCCTCAGCCAAAATATGTGGAGGGTAGCTACAGGAATGATTAGGGACAACTAGCAGTAAAGATCAGAGTTCTTTCACGTTTTGGTCTTTAGGTTTTTCTGTGTATTTGCTGCCTGCTGTCTGCAAACAAAAACCTACCTCACCACAAACTGCAGATTTCCAAACACCTCAGGAAAGACCCACCAGACACTAAAGAAAGATCATAATGCAAATGAGAAGCCTGAGTAAAAGAAACATAGTACAAAAATGGGGGAAGGGGAGATAACTAACAAATGAAGATAATCATATTGTTTCTAAATTATTATTCCTAGACATATTTTAGTAAAATAGAGACAGCTATGAAAAAAGTCCATTTTAAGTTTAAATTGCAAAGCAGTTTTAAATTTAAAATGTGGTAGTCAAAACAAGGAAAATTCAACAAAAGAATTTGAAAATATTTTTTACAAAATCTTTCTTCATAAAAAGAAAAGATTTTATTGTCTCCGTAGTGTAAAAAACTGAAAGAGTAAATAAGATCCAAAATGTAAAATAGATATTGTAAAAGTGAGAGGGAGGAGTCTGCTCGGAAGGAAAGGACAATGGGCTGGGGGGAAGGAGAAAGGAAAGAAGAAAAAAGAATATATATATATACACACACACATACACATACATATATATATACACACATATATATGTATATATACATATGTATATAGGAGACTCTACATGTATATATTCAAAATAGACAATTATACTACTAACCTGGTTCATCAAAAAAAATGGTTTATGCTTTCATCATTTGGTCATTTTTTATACCGATGTGATTTGAGCAACTACTTTGACCACAGCAGCATACAATATATTAACAATTGTTAATCTCATTATTTTGCTTTGATATTCTGTACCATCATTTTAATTCTTTTTTTGCTTTAAAATAAAAGAGATATGAATATTAGAAATGAAGAAAAAATATTGGGTCCAAATATTTTATAAAATATTTTATAAAAAGAGAAACAGACGAACAAAAGGAATATTCTCCAAAAATCAGAAAATATTCCAAATCGAAGGACGTGAGTCTCATGATCAAATGAAATCAACAAATGCCCATTTAAGGGACAAAATGATTAAACAAACAAAAGAAGAAATAGAACTAAGGTAAAGTTATGTGTTACAAAGAGAAAAACACATTAATATCTACTATTAAAATTATCAGATTGACATTTGCTTCTTATTAGCAACAATGGATGGTCCAAGACAATGAAGAAATACTCTAGAAGTCTGAAGGGAAGAAGCATGGTTATCATAAAAGTGCGCAACTGTCAGTCACACACAAGAGTAATATGGGGCCTGGGAGCATGATTGTCGGAGCCCCCGGGAATCACTCCTTCTTCTAATTCTACAGCACTGGATTAGGATCTCTATGCAAACTCAGTTGTGCTAGCTTGGGGAGACTGACATTGGAAGGGCAACTTTTGCAGATCTATTTTGCTATTTTACAATGGTCTCATTTTGTGTTAGTCATCATTCAGACCATTATTTTTTGATGCCAGAGAATATTTAATTCAGAGATTAATGAGGCTGTTTTTAGTCTATATCTAGATCCATTCATACAATAGGATATTTTGTACCCATATATAAGAAAATGAAGTGCTGAAAGCACGCTAAATCTGAATGAATCTTGAAAACATATTATATGAAGGAAGCTACAAACAAAGGTCATTTATATTATTATTCTATTTACATGATGCAACCAGAATAACTAAATCCATAAAAATAGAAAGTAGATTTCCAAGTGTGGTGGTGCAGGCCTGCATTTCAAGTACTAGGGACGTTGAGCCTGGAAGACCACCATGAATTTGAGGTCAGCCTGAAGGACATAGTGAGACCTTGTCTTAGAAAACAAAACAAAAGAAAAAGAAAGTAGACTAATAATTAATAGAAAATGAGAAAATCATTCATTTCTGTTTACTGAAATTTGTGACTGACCAGAGGCATGTAGCTTTTCATTGTGGTGATAGAAATGTTTTGTAATTAGATAGTGGTGATCATTGCATATGACTGTGAGAACATTAGCAGCCACTGAGTTGTATGCTTTCATATATGTTATATGATTTTTTTGTCAATAAAAAGTTTCATCTAAAAAATATATATTTTGGGGGAAAATAAAAATGTTCTATAGTTGATTTCCTAATGGTTGTGTGAACTTTATAAATATGTTTAGTTTCTACTTTACATTGGTGAATTGTATGCAACTTGTGAACTACATGTCAATATTGTTATCCCCCCAAAACCCAGACCCTTAATTATGTTCACAATTTTTCAAGTACAAGATTCAGTATGCAGTAAAAAAAGATACATAAAAAAGTAAAAATGATTTAAAACTATGAGAAAAAGAAGAGGTCTGGATATTAATACATCTAATTTAATAATTCTTTTCATCTAAAATACTTTTAGAGTCTTTGAAAGAGATAAGAGAATTGGACAGCAGTAAAATTTGAAGATAGGAATTGAAAATTTCTAAAAATGATCATAGTAATCTAGAATCAAGAAGTCTAGGAAACTCCAAGCAACATAAATAAAAAGAACACAATGTTAAGGAACATAATAATAAAACTGGTAAAAAAAAATAGGATGGGGAAAACATAAGAATCCAGGGTTGAGAGCGGGAGAGATACATTTCTTTCAGAAAAGCAGCAACAAAACTAAGAAATATATTTTAAAAAGAAAGTAGAAAACCATTAAAATGACTTTGTCACACTGATGCAGAAAACAATCCTATTAAATTGCAATTAAAGCTTTTTGAAAATGTTTTTGAAAATAAAGGTATTCTTTGACTAAAACTTGAAAGAATTTGGTATCTGTAATCTTTCACTAGAAGCAGAAGAGAATTCTTTAGGCAGAATAAAAATTATTCCATAGAAAATTATGAACTCAGGCAAAGAAGTAAAAAGCAACAGAAATGATAAATGTAAATGGATATTAATAACATTTATAGTATATCTTTAATATTTAATTATATATAATGAATTAAATGCACAAACAATTTCTCTTTCAAAGAGAAAGGTGATATAAACTCATTGCATTGTTGGGAAATGATAAAAGTCCTAAATTAGATTAGACTCTCATAAATCAGGATTTATCTAATAATCTCCAAGTCAGTGACTAAAGGAAGAATAAATGAATGTATTGTTATCAAAACAATTGATGGGGAAAATGACAGAAATTAAATAGCCTAACAGAAATCAGGAAAATATAAAGGAGAAACAAGAAACCTTTATCTTGTTGCTGGGACAAAACCACTCAACACCCAAAATGAAGGAAGGAAAAGTTTATCTAGCTCAGGGTTTGTGGAAGTTTCAGTCCATAGTTAGCTGGCTCCAAGGCAGGGTGGCATGGAACACTTCAAGGCAGCAACCACAGCAAAAGGAGAAAGAGCAAGTCTCTTTTCCTCCCTACATGTACACAGGCCACAGCCCCCTTCAGGGTGGGTGTAGCACTCACAAAATCTCTGCACCTTCCTTTTGCACAGGATGAGAAAATTTACAAAGTAAGGATCTTGGCTCCCTGATGAGTCTCTTAGTTAAACTTCTAAACTTCTCAATTTGGTACAATGTATCAAGAATAACACCCTTTCAGGGAGCCAGCAGGTGCATGGACTTCCTCCCCACCATAAGCAACCAGCTGATTTGGAGGAACACCAGGTGAGTTGATAGCAACTGAGGTACAAAAACAACTCAATGCTTGTATTGTCTGATTGACTTTGCAGGCCTAACACCAGTAGTCTAAGCATCTATTTAGCGGATAACAATATACAGTATGCCACTATGGGGAATTTCCTTCTCCAATATTGAAATCCAATATTGTTCTGTTTTATTTTATTCCATTTTATTGTTTTTTAATTCAGTGTTATGCTTTGATTGGTTTTATTCTGTTCTGTTTTGTTTGATTTTATTATGTCTGGTGGTATGTAGGCACTATTGATTTCCTTTTATCCCATTCTAAAATCCTGTATCACTTTCACTGTTTTGTTTTGATTGGCTTTATTCCGTTTTATTTGGTTTTATTGTCTTTAAAATAAATTTTAATAAAACAAAAGAAGACAATAGAAAATAAACAATAATGTCATAGATTAAAACCCCAAATTATCACTATAATAAACAGAGGCTAAATATTCTAGCTAGAAAAGATCATTAGGTAGACTATGAAAAAAATTATTTGTATACTTTTACAATTACACTATAGGAAAATCCTATCCTGTTTAATTGTGGTTATGAAGTAGGAGATCAATGAAGAAGTTAAAAAGAAGGAAAACAAGAAATAGTTAAGAAGATTCAGTGTGGTGTACAAAACAAGAAACAGGTTTATCTGTAAGGTTGCTTAGATAAGCAACAAAATCCTAAATTAGAAAGACATAAATGGGCCAGGTGTGGTGGCTCATGCCTATAATCCCAGCACTTAGGAGGCTGAGGCAGGAGGATCATTGTGAGTTTGAGACCAGCCTCAGCTATAAAGTGAGCTCAAGGCCAGCCTGAACTGCATAGAGAAACACTGTCTCAAAAAGACAGGAAAGAAAGAAAAAAGAAAGAAAGAAAGAAAGAAAGAAAGAAAGAAAGAAAGAAAGAAAGAAAGAAAGAAAGGAAGACATAAATGGAGGGAAAGATGAGAGTAAAGTAAATGAGCACACTTTTTATTGATGACAACACAAATTCAGTCTACTGAACATCAAGCTGATCACGTAAAATATACAGTAGAGTATTCTGAGCAGGTTTCATTATTTTATTCTTTTAACCATGAATGTATATTAAACTGATTTACATTTTCAAAAATACATGATTTATTCAACACCTGTGATAGAGAATTTTAAAGAAAGACAAATATTTCAACTTTACAAGGTATCCCTTCTACTTACATTCTTGCTTTACTGAGAGAGGAACAATCTTGTCTTCATTCTTTAAAGGATGATCCATGTTCACAATCAGGTGTTGGAGTCCCAAGAACTTCACAGTTTCCAAAGAGATGGTGTACATTTTAGTGACAGTAACTGTGCCATTTGGGTTCTGAGCAAGGCATTCTTCAGGAGGGTTAATTAGGACTTGTGAGGGAAAGATAGAGATTCGAGGAGCAGGTTTTCCCACAGCCGAATACGTAAGTCTAAGAAAACCTTCAGAGTCAGGGTTAAATTGAAGTTCAGTTAATTCAGACACAGCTGGGGGCAGGAGCGGGGGGGGGGGAGAGAGAGAGAGAGAGAGAGAGAGAGAGAGAGAGAGAATTAAAAGTGTGTTATACCACATTCCTATGTTGTTAAAAATCAGACTTCCCCAAATTGTTATGTGATGTCGAAATGTTGAAAACGTACCCTGAGAAGGGTACTTTTTGTATTTTATGAAATCTGACAATACTATTCTATATATCACTGACAGAAATAATTGTGAAAGGAATAATTGATGTCTCAACTTTCATTCAATCTTAAAACTACCTTATTCAAACTCTAATACTTCAAATGTATAGCAACATGGTAAGGGAATTTTATGCCATTTTTTTATTGGCACTGTAATATTGTGGTTTTTTCTGAAGAATGGGAATCATTTTCTTATTTTCTTAAAATCCATCTTTCCTCTTCCTCTTTTTCTACTGTCTCTTTCTCTTTCTTCTGTTTTCTCAGCTCTCCAGTGAGAAAATATTCTCTTCCTAAATTTTATCCACTCAAGGAAAGCCAGCGCAATGCAGCATAAAGTTAAATGAGAGGGAGAAAATCCTGTACTGTGTAAAAATAGGCAAGTCACATGACCGTCACTAGGTTTCTTTTCCTTTTTCTTTTTTTCTGGATAATAAAAGACTTGGCCTGGATACTTTCTACTGTTCTCTCATCCTTTAAAATTCTTTTTCTGGACACCAACAAAGTATCACAACCCCATGAATTCTGTCCCAGTAATTTATACTATAGAAAACATTCATATACTTATAATGTTAAGGCAGATTTGCCCTCCATGACTGCCATGCGGAAACATATTAAAGAGACATTTGTAGCAAGCTTCATCTTCAAGTGTCACTTCTTGGATAGTCAGGAATGAGGAATTTGGTTCCATGACTTTACATTGCAGCCGGTCTATGTATGGTGGAAGAATCTTTTCTCCATATTTACTGCTGTAAGTCCCAATATTTTGGGGCAAAGAGTTTTGGATCTTTTGCCAGGTAATTTGCACAACATTTGCTGGCGTTGTCAAATTGCAGAAAATAGTCACATTTTCTCCCAATATGGCAGTCTCGTTCTTTTTATACTTTATCCCATGTGCAGGTTCTGAAAATAAAATCCAGTATTAATATATTTTTATTCAGATCTGGTTGCTCAGATCATAACACTTACCTGTCTTATCATTGGCCTTTTATTTGCCTCTCTTACCTACTACAAAATGTACTCTCCTATCTTCTTCCTTGTTGAAATATAGTTTGTAAAATTATTTCCTGTATAAATTACTGTATCAAGAAATATCATGAGGATGCAAAAATTGAAACACAAACATGAGATCAACATGGTATAGTAACTTTTTTGCCTCCATGAAAACATGCATGAGAGCATTAACTTGGGAGAAGATTTATCTTGGCTCATGTTTCAGAGGTTTCATTCTTTGTTCACTTAGCTCTGCTGTTTCTGGGCTAAGGAGAGGCACGACATCAAGGCAGAAAGGGTGTGATGGAGAAAAGATGGCCTCATTGCAGCAGGAAGCAGAAAGACAGAGCCATGATGGTGCGTTTTCTCCTTCTTCACCTTATGTTCCACCTGGGACCCTATCCTATTGGATGGTGCAACCCATGTATAAGACAAGTTTAAATTTGCTGCTACACACGACAGCTGTCTCTGGATACACTTTCACAGGCACATCTAGGAATTTCTCAATCCAGTCAAGCTGGCAATTAAGATTAACCACTATAGGCTTTCTATCAGGACCAGTAAGTCCAGCGGAGGCAGAGAACCCTGCCCCAGCCTTGCAGAACCCTCTTCCTTGCCTGGGGGCCAGGCCATGGCTTCCTGTACAGATCCAGGAGTCAGGATGGGGCAGGGAATCCTGTCCCAGCCTGGCAGAACTCTCTCCCTCACTTGGAACAACACTTGAAGCTTGAAAATATAGGAAAATGACAAAACGAAAGACCAAAATGCAATCTCAACCATCCAGCCCATCCCAAGAAAGTCTAGGAGCCATGTGCATAGAAGAAAATATATGCCACATACCTGAAATACCTGAAATAATAGTAACTGAAATGAAGAAGCAACTCTGGGAAGCCTTAAAGGAATTCAAACTAGAAATAATCTCTCAGGTAAAAGAAGAAATGAAGGAGATGCTGAACATATCTAAAGAAGACACAGTTAAAAAATTGGAGGAACTAAACAAAAAAATAGAATCCCTGGATGAACAACATAAGAAACAAACAGAATACATAAAGCAGATGCAAAGAGATATACAGGAAATCAAAAACTCCATCAAAAGTTGTAAAAACCACCTCAATGAATGTGAAGATAGAATTTCAGACATCAAAGATAAGATTGCAGCCAGTGAACAGGAAAGGAAAGATCTTTTAAAGACAACAATTCAACACCCGCAAGATGACGCAAAGAGGAACAACATAAGGTTGATAGGGATAAATGAAAAAGAAGGGGACAATATAAAGGATGTCAAGAGGATATTTAGAGAAGTAATAGCTGAAAATTTACCAAACATGAAATTGGAAACTGATATCAAGATCAATGAAGCATATAGAACTCCAAATAGCCATAACCAAAATAAAACTACACCCAGACACATAATAATGGCCATCCCAGAAATTGAACAAAAGAATAGAATATTAAAAGCTGTCAGAGAGAAAAGACAGATCACCTATATAGGAAAACCTATCAGAATCACAGCAGAATTCTCAACACAAACAATAAAGGCAAGAAGAGCATGGAGTAAAGTATTTCAGATCCTAAAGGAAAAGGATTTCCAACGTAGACTGATGTACCCTGAAAAACTGCCCTTCAAAATGGATAGAGAAATAAGATACTTCCATGGCAAAGAACAGCTGAAAAACTACATGATCACCAAGCTAACCCTGCAAAGAATACTGAAAGACAGCCTAGATACATTTAGGAAGAACCCACTAAACAAAGCAGACAATTAAACAGAACAGAAAGATAAAGATGCAACAGCAGAAAGATAACATGTCAACAATAAACCAATATATAACAATTATAATCATTAATGTAAGTGATCTCAATGCACCAATTAAAAGAAACGGACTGGCAGAATGGATCAAGAAACAGAATCCAACCATATATTGTCTACAAGAAACCCATCTAACCCAAAAGGATACCCACAGAATGAAAGTCAAAGGATGGAAAACAATACTTCATGCAACAGGAACCCCCCCAAAAAAGCAGGGGTGGTTATGCTGTTTGCAGACAATGTGAACTTCAAGCCAATATGATCCGAAGGGATAAAGAAGGTCACTACATACTGGTTAGGGGAGAACTCCAAGAGGAAGAGATAACTATCTTAAATATATATGCACCAAATACCAGAGCACCCAGTTATATAAAATAAGTACTAACAGAAATGAAAAACCAAATTAACAGTAACACAATTCTAATAGGAAATCTTAACACACCATTGACACCAATGGACAGATCAACCAGACAGAAAATCAGCAAAGAAATAAAAGAACTGAATCGCACCTGTGAACAAATGGACTTAATAGACATATACAGAGTATTCCACAAAACAACAACAGAATACACATTCTTCTCAGCAGTGCATGGGTCATTCTCTAAAATAGACCATTTATTAATTCACAAAACATTTAAATAAATGCAAAAGGGTTGCAATTACCCCTTGCATGCTATCGGACCATAGCGTTATGAAATTAGAATTAATGATAAAAGATACTGTAAAATTCCCACAAACACATGGAAACTGAATAACACACTCTTGAGTAATCAGTGGGACACAGAGGAAATTAAAGAAGAAATTAAACAATACCTACAAGAAAATGAAAACACAAATACAACTTATCGGAATCTGTGGGATGCAATGAAAGCTGTCCTCAGAGGAAAATTTATTGCACTGAATTCACACATCAGGAAAACAGAACGAATACAAATAAATAACCTGATATTACACCTCAAACATCTAGAAAAAGAAGAGCAAGTCAAGCCCAAAGCCAAAAGAAGAGAAGAAATTACAAAAATCAGAGCAGAAGTCAATGCAATAGAGACTAAAAAAAAATCCAAAAAATCAATGACTCAAAGAGTTGGTTCTTTGAAAGAATAAATAAAATTGACAAGCCCCTAGCCAACCTTATTTAAAAAGGGGAAGAAAAAGCTTAAATTCATGCAATAAGGAATGAAAGAGGAGAAACCACTACAGACCCTATAGAAATACAGAAAATCATCAACACCTATTTCAAAAACCTCTACTCTCAAAGGTTTGATAACACAGAGGAAACAGACAGATCCCTAGACATACAAAGTACAAAAGCTAGATTATGAAGATGTAAAACTGCTGAATAACCCAATTTCTATTAATGAAATAAAAAACATAATTAAATCTTTACCTACAAAGAAGGGCCCAGGCCCAGACGGATTCACTGCAGAATTCTACAAGAAATACAAAGAAGATCTAATGCCAACACTCCTCAAATTCTTCAATAAATCGTTCCTAGAAGCAAATATTACTCTAGTACCAAAATCTGAGAAGGACCCAACTGAAAAAGAGAACTACAGACCAATCTCCCTAATGAACACAGATGCAAAAATCTTCAATAAAATATTGGCAAATAGGATGCAGCAAATCATCAAGAAGATCATACACCATGACCAAGTGGGATTCATCCCAGGCATGCAGGGACGGTTCAATATACGTAAATCAATAAATGTAGTACATCATATCAATAGAGCCAAAAGTAAGAATCACATGATCATTTCTATAGATGCAGAAAAAGCTTTTGATAAGGTCCAACATTCATTTATGATAAGAACCTTGCAGAAAATTGGAATAGATGGTCTTTACCTCATTATGATAAAGGCCATCTATGACAAACCAACAGCCAATATCATACTAAATGGCCAAAAACTGAAGGTCTTTACTTTAAAATCAGGCACAAAACAAGGATGTCCCTTATCACTGCTCCTATTTAATATAGTACTAGAAATACTAGCCAGAGAAATTAGACGAGAGAGAAATAAAAGGCATAAAGATAGGAAAAGAAGATGACAAGATATTATTTGTAGATGACAAGATATTCTATATAGATGATCCCCAAGACTCCATTGAAAGACTCTTAGATATAATAAATAAATTCAGTAATGTAGCTGGATACAAAATCAATACTCAAAAATCAATAGCATTCCTATACACTAACAACAAAGTCACAGAGAGAGAAATAAGAGAAGCCACACCCTTCACACTAGCAACCAAAAAAAATGAAATATTTAGGAATTACTCTCATGAAAGAAGTGAAAGACCTATACAAGGAAAATTATAATACACTGAAAAAAGAAATTGAAGATGATCTCAGAAAATGGAAAAACATCCCTTGCTCATGGATAAGAAGAATAAATATTGTGAAAATGGCCATCCTCCCAAAACTTTTATACAGATTCAATGCAATCCCGATAAAAATACCATTAACGTACCTCATAGAACTCAAGAAATCACTCCTAAAATTCATCTGGAGTGAGAAGAGACCTAGAATAGCAAGGACATTTCTAAGCAGCAAAGGCAAGGCAGGAGGTATCACAATCCCTGACTTGAAGTTATACTACAAAGCAACCATAGTAAAATCAACATGGTACTGGAACCAAAACAGAGCCAAAGATCAGTGGAATAGATTAGAAGATACAACCACAACTACAAACACACTCAACCACCTTATCTTCGATATAGGGGCCAAACATGTTCACTGGAAGAATGACAGTCTCTTTAATAAATGGTGTTGGAAAAACTGGCTCTCCATATGCCAGAAACTAAAACTAGCCCCATGCCTATCACCATGTACTAAAATAAAATCTGAATGGATCAAAGATCTAAATATTAAAACAGAAACACTAAATCTATTGGAAGACAAATTGGGTAAAAACCTTGAAGACATAGGAGTAGGTAGAGAATTCATTAACAGGAATCAAACCGCACGGGAAATACTTCCCAGAGTCAATAACTGGGATCACCTCTTATTAAAATGTTTCTGCACGTCAAAAGAAATCTCCAGCATAGTGAAAAGAAAACCCACAAACTGGGAAAAAAATCTTAGTGAACTGTCCCTCAGACA